AAGGCTGGTGCCTGGACCTCCTCGAAGGCTGGTGCCTGGACCTCCTCAAAGGCTGGTGCCTGGACCTCCTCTGAGGTTGGTGCCTGGACGTTCACATTGAAGGGTGGCGCCTCAACCTTTGCCACTGGCATTGGAGCTTCAACCTTTTCCTGTGACACGGGTACCTGGACCTGTTCATGGACATCTTCCTCTTCTGAGAGCATTTCCTCGACCCTGACCTCAGGACCACGGATGTTATCCTTCGAGGTTGGCGAGGTGTCTCCTCCGCCTGGCGGCGAGTGATTTGAGGCAATGGCCAAACCAAATGCTGCTGGTTGGTTGACCTGGTCTTCTGCTCGGCCCTGTGACGGACACTGCAGCCCCAATGAAGCCATCGCAGCCCTCTCATCATCTTCGGAGTTGTAGCGAAGTTTCTTTCTAGGTTCGATGGCTTCAAACATGGCGCCGGTGCGCTTTGTCTCCTCCTGGCCAAGAAGAAACTAATTGTTGCTTACTAAACCGACACACAAACAACCCATCCATAGAGTTGGATTCCTATGCTCTCTTGAATTTGGGACACCTTTGACAAAACCTGAAGATCAACTATAGACTCCGACTCTGCTTTGGCAGGTGGCGGCAGGCGCCTTCTCCATAGAAGCTCCACACAAGGCCGCTGGTGTCCCTGGTCCAGCCTCAGTCGAACACTGAGGAAACATGAGAGGATTAAAAATTCAGATCAAGCATTGCGCAATCAATGGATTGAGGAACAAACTCTTGGTGATGGAGTGAAATAATTGGATGGGCTCTCTTCCGTCAATCGATTGAAATCCTGAGCGGGGACATCAAATTTGGCCAAACCTAGACCCAAAAAAGAGTCAGTCAGAGTCAATTATTCAATGAATTCACCCAAGGACTTCACGAATCCCCCAAGGCACGGTCCTGGCCAAAGCCATGTGATGCCAACAGGCGCTGAAGAGGTGACGGCTCCGCCATGTGGATGTCAACCAGGACTGGGCGGGAGTTTGTCCCGCGGAGTGTCTGAACTTGGGCCACTTCCTGCAAGTAGCGTTGCATCAAGGTTTGTGTGCGATCATCCTTTCAGGCTTCGTGATTCGTGGGTTTGGTTTTCTTACAAAGTATCGAGCTTTCAATTTCTCAACACGAGGACCCTTTTGGTTTGCAGGAAGGTCACAGCCCACGTCACACAGAGCTGTCACTGATTTTTCTCACTCGACTGGGCGCTGATCCGTAAATCTCGGATTCTACCTGGCCGCAAGGCAAGGTCAAGGAAGTTCGAGAATGAACTGCCATCCATAACAAATAGTCAAATTACTTGTCGTGTCAACCTTGCCTCCCATCTTGAGGAGTGAGTCAGCCATCAAGTGCATTGACTACCTGACACGTTTAAAGCCCTGGGCAAGTGGGAGCGACTGAGGGGAAAAGTGAAACAACCCTGCTCAAGTCAGTCACGCCTGAGGGTGGAAGGTAATTATGTAGGCAGGCCTTGATGTTGGAACCTGAAGTACTGGCTGCTTCATAAATTGTTTGTCTCGGTAGACAAAACACTTGATGGTAGGGTGTTTTGTGGCATCGACGCGCATTGAGTCTTGGACCGGAGCGGCCACTGCCAAACCACACCCTGCAGCCAGAACTCCTGGGCTCATTGGGGACAAGATGTTGAATTTCCGATGTTTCCCTATTGAAAACATGAACATTCTCCAGTCAGTGTATTGATTTGAGGCACACCCCACAGAGCAATCCTCCCCCGGACACCACGCACTTCGTGATGTCTCGCCACCCTGGAATCAGGGAGCTTCTCACGTACAAGCTTTAGGGGCTTTGCTGAAATCTTTGCTTCTCACGTGCATGTACAAACCGCTTTCTGTGGTTCCAAACTCTGCGCAAATTCAATCACAACCTGCTGCAGCTGCACCAAACATAGAAGCCAAGCACCTGCACGAGTACAAGGGGATCAGAAAAAGCTGATTGACATCACCTGAAAGCTTTTGGACTCTGGATTTGGAAGGTCATCTCGGTGTTTTGGTGGCCCAACAATGAGATCGATTTGAATAAGAACTCTACAGCAGCAGCAACAAAATGCAGCGTCGCTTGCCAAGAGATCAGTGGAGGGGTTGATATTTGCAGCGCTGAATAGACCCTCATTTTTCAGTAAAGAACTTTAAGACCTGACCTTTAGATGAAACTTGACTTATGGCCTTCCACTTCCATGCTTCAGTGCCAATCGACGTGTCGACGCATTGAGGTGATTAAATTGCGAAAGGATCGGCCCACCCAGTTTAAACACACCTCCATGGTTGTGGAGCTGAACATCGAAGCTGGGCCACCAAAACAAGCCTATCAGAGAGAGACTGAGCAAGTGTTTGCAAGGGACTGCTGGGTTGATTGACCAGCACTGGAACTAGTTGGAAACAAAGTCCCAGCCTTCATGTCATTGCGATACCAGGGAGGGGTTTCCCAACAAACAGCAGCGGAGAGCCAAACTGTTGAGTCGAGTCTAAAAACCTAATACTTGGCATACAGACCTGTCAAATGCAAATCAATGCCAGGATGGCTCTTCTTTTGGAGTTGAAGCTTGGCAAGCTTCTCGTTGGTGATGAATTTCGAGGCGCCGTGCGCAATGACGTAGTCAGTTGGTTCGATGGTGACTTTGCAATGCGCAACCTTGGCTCTTATATATCCAGTCAACCCCTCAATCACTGATTGATAGACTTCATCTTTGATCAGTCATCCTCCCCATGAAATGACGCCAAACCACGATGAATAACTTGAACTCCTGGTCATCAACCACTTGGGACAGAGATCCATCCCTACGCCTAGCCCGCACCAGCAGCAAGCTCGTGCCAGCCATACGGCCAGAAAATTTGGTTTCAACCACATACTGGTCCATGACCTGCTCAAGAGCAACAGGCTCTTCCCACGGAACAATCTTGACTGGAGGTGCTTTCTGTTCCTCCTGAGCTGCCACCACAAGCGCTTGGATCTCAGCTGCATTCTTTCTGCCGTACCTGAGAGAAAGGGTTTGAGCAAGACAATATTTACAATTAAGTCATTGTCATGCTTTTGTTTTGATTGCGACTGGTTCGACACATGATACGATGATACTGAAAATCCCAAACTGGCCCAACCACATGGTTTAGCCAGATTGCTGTGAATCAAAATCAGCCAACAGATTTGTCCACTCTGGTCCATATACAGGGTCTTCAATGTGACGGCTTCGGATGCATGGAGGGATGCTTAACTTCAGCCGATCCCAACCCTTTTTGGATGGGTCCACATCAAAATCCAACTTCACCACCTTCAGTGGATAGGCAGATGGATCCACTTCGCCTTGACCTGGAGGTGGCGGTGGGGGGTCCTTCTCGTAGGGCCTGACATTGGCAAATCGTGGTGATTTGCCAGCTTTCCACTCCTGGAATGACAAAACTTCAGATCAAATAAGTCGGAGTTCAGTGTCTTTAAGTTAGTTAACCGGTGATTGGTTTAAACTTGGCACGCCCGTGTCAAGACAGTGTTCAGCTGCCAGTCCTCCATCAAATCTAATGCTAGGACCTTCTCAACATACTGACTGATCTGCAGGTTCTTGGTGGTTGAAACCGTTCGGAAGGTCATCCCATCGAATCCTTTGTGGCAAGTCCGCTCCAACCATGCGTCGTACGGGGTCAAATTCATGATGCCCACAGTGCCCCCAGATGAAACTCCCGACTTCATCAGCACAGAGTTCAGCAAAATCCTGGGAAGTTGTTCCCCAGACAGAAGCTGTGCTGCTTCTTGAACTTCAGATAGGGACCTGCCAAATGGGTGGTTTTGCGGACCTGATGAACTCTAGGGGAGAATGACAGTACCGGCGTGAAACACTGCATGAAATCATGTTCCAACCTGGCTCCCTCCGAAGCATGGGGGAGGCTGTCCCGGTCGAATGGAACGATGTACGAAGCCTCCTGAGGCCATGAAAGTTCTCCCCTCGTCGCCCTGCAAGGCGGCGTCGGTGCTGGATTGGGTTCGGGATCGGGGCAAAACTTGGAGGTCTCACCAGGCAAGTGGTGGTACCAAACCTTTATGAGCTAACATCATTATATTATTATGTGATATCAAAACCTCGCCTGTCCAACATGATCTGGCAGCCATTGAACGTGTTTTGTTCTCGGTCTTTGTCTGACCTGTGGCGGCTGCTTGGTCATCTAGAATAAAGTTGTACCCATCACCAGGCAATCATGGCAATGTCCATTGAAACAACACTTTAGACTAGCGCCGAGCCACATCAAGATCCAGCCATCGAACTGGATAGGGACACGTCGCTTTGGAGGTGGAGGCCCACATCTCACAGCAATGCTCTGGCTGAAGAAGGATTTGGCGTCGAACTTGCTTTCCCAAGCCCTACAGGGAGCTAACATTTGACGCGGAATTGAACACATGGAACTAACTGCATTGAATCAACCAGAAAACCCAGTGTTGATCCGTCCTCAACTGCCCACGGTACCCTTGCTGCTTCTCCGACACAAGGTATGGAGCGATGACAACGGCGATGGAGGCCTTGTAGCGGGTGTGCAGCACATGGCTCAGAAGGGTGCTGAACTCATCCATCTCCGTAGCAGTCATCCGCCCACACTTCATGAGATCGACCCAAATAATGCAAGGCATGTCCGGAAAGCGCTGAAGAAACTGAAGGGTTCAATGGATTCTAAACCAAGCCCAACAAGGATGGGGAAGCGAGGCCTTTATCTTAATGGTGGGTTGAACACAAAGAGGTCAAACAACAAGTATTTGGTCAACTCACGTCCTTGGTCAGGACATTCATTTGATCCTTGATGACGCCGGAGTGGACAGCCAGGTTCTGGAGCATATAGTCGTTGACGATAGCTGCTCCAATGACATTTTGGGCACGGAGGTGAGCAAGTTTTTCCTGCCTTCGCCCACGTTCCCCCTTCTCAATCACTTTGTAGAGGCTCGCCACCTGTGCCAGGTCTCTGGCGAGGGCCAGGCAGTCCGCTTCGAACTGCGCTTTTCGCGCGTCCTGGTTGAGGACAGACACCTGGGCATCACACTGCGCCACCTGTTCCTTCACAGCATCCACTTCTTCAGGCTTGTGTTCCTTGAACATGGTAGTCTCTTCTGGGTTGAATTGAGGGTCAAGAACTTCAAGCGCGGTCTCGGCGTCACTCATGTAGTCCCTAAGTTGCAGGTTGAGAGGCCAAAGGGCGCGCATAAGAATCCATATGCGCGCCCTTTGTGGCCTATCAACCTTTGGTTGTTGATCTGGCAGTACAGTGTTTTGGACCCAAAGCAATGTCAATCCCTATGGTACATCAACTTATTATTGAAAAAACATATTCCCCAAATTTACCAAAACACTGACCAGTCTGTCAGGTGATTCAGTCAAGTGTCCCTTCAACACAGCGTTTGCAGATGGATGTAATCAGAGCATCATTGAACATTCTGTTTCCAGAGCTGTCAGTTTTCTCCCACATGTGCTTCAAGCAATGGCCAAGGAAGCAAAACTGATCCGCAAGGGTGTTCCAATCACTCAATGCCAGCCGTGGTATACTGGCACGTCCTCCCTGCTTGAGAGCGATCTCATGCAGCATGAGTACACGCTGGATAAAAATGTTTTGCTTTGCATCATCCATCGTGAGTATGCTTGACCAAAGGTGCATACTCTTGATGGAGGGGTCTCTGCTCGAACCACCCAACATCCAGCGCCCATCCAAGAGCAATTGGTTGCTGAAGGCTGCAGGGGGGCAATCTAAGAACATGTAGTATGTTTTGATCTTGGTGGTTGATATATCACTCACACATACGGTATCACATACGTATTGAATGTGAAGAAGAGAATTAAGTTGGAGTTCCAATGACACGAGGACAGGACCCATACCGAATCAAAAGGAGTGGGCACCAGATCGACCAGATTACAGCAACTACCTAGACATCATAAGGGCAAAGACAGGCTTGCCAGAACGTTTATTTCCCGAGAGGTGTGCCTGACTGCTCAAACTTGAAGGCATGCAAATGCATCTCCAGGAGCTCCCAGACTTCTGCATGGACACCAACCTGCCAAACGAGGCGCCGAGCCGGACAGCTGATGAAAAGGCATAATTGTATATTGTCGGAATGAAGAACGAAACATTTAAGCCTTCAGTCCGTAAAGCTGCAGAGCAGTAGTGGGATCTACCCGTAGTCTGGAGGAGTGAGCAGCCGCGCCATAGTTGTTATATTCATCAACTGCCATGAGGAATGCATCTTGGAAATTCAATCTGGGGTCCTGGTGGCTGATGTTCTGGTTGCATTAAATGGTAACTTGTTTGTTGCCCACCCAAGAAATACTCAACTTTTCGGGGTACCCACACACACGACAGGTGTCAAGTAAAACTGAAGTCCTCTGCTTGAAGTTCTTGACCCCTGCTCGAAAAAGCTAAACACCGCTGGAGGGCGTTCTTCTTTTGCCGTTCAGCTTGCTGATCATTGATTTGAAACCGCCTCCAAACACAATCAGACAACTTGGCCAGGCTGAACTTGCATTGAAGGAGCTTCACTGTTTTCAGCCACCTGGCAGGGACTCTAGGTGTATGCTGAGCATTGTGGGTCAGTGCGTGAGTGTTTGACGGGATCATAGCGTCATGTTGGGGGACCCCAAGTTTTCCAAATTTTAAGACGACGTTCCCACTGGGACCATCACGTTGGAGGGCTCCCAACAACTATAAGTGGGCGCCCCGCAATAACGAGGCACTTCCCCCAACATGACGCTCCCACCCAAACCATCACGTCAGTTTTGCAACTATATATGTTGCACACCCAACTATATACTATGCGAGCCCAACTGACCCCCTCCAACACGACGCTCCCACCGGGACCATCACGTTGGGCCCCCCGAGAATTTGAAGTCACGAACACGACCCTTTGATATATCACGGGTGGAAATTACACCTGCCCCAGACATGTGTGCCTCCCAAAATCAGCTTTCTCTTCAGGGCTCATTCGGTCACGAAGATGGGTGTAGGTGTGCATGATGGCCCACAAAACTACACTGAGCCGGCCATTGCCCTTCACAACGAGGACCTGCCCAAAGTCCATTGGCTGGCCATAGGGCATGGCAACCATGGACTTTACTTCCAGGGTTTCTCTCCAAGATTCGAACCCACAGAGCAGGACATCTTTCAGCACCCGAAGCCATGAGTGCAATATGGGAAGCCCATCCACAGGGAGCTGGTAGCGAAAAGGCCTCAAGGGGATTGAGATCACTTCATCACAGCCCTCAACCTGACTTAGCGATAAGTTGTTCAGGGACTAAGTTCAAAGAAAGGACGACAATTCAATGATGCTAGCAATCTACATAAACCCAGGCACGGGGAAGTTCTGAGTTGTAGGATGTGGAAGCGTAGGCTCCATTTCAACTAACCACTGCTGAACGGGCTCATAGAGTCCAACATCATTGAAGGTGTTGATCAACGTTTTCACTGGGTGCTCGTCAGTGTGGAGATCGAAGCCAGGCCTCCACCGATATGATAGTACTAGTACTCACATCATTTAGAGAATCGCCAGTCAGCACAATTTGTGAGGCTGAGAACCGTTAAATGATCAGTGAAAAGAGTTTCGATGCCTTACATGATCAAGTACTCTGCATGCCCACGGGAAGGTTTCCTTCTGTGCTTTGCTTGGCTGGGCACTGGCGCCATCTTGCAAGGATCGCTTGGGCATGGCCCTGGGCCACGTCTAACCAAACAAACCTTGATCTCCGATACAGCACAGGATCAGTAAGCTTGAATGTTGTTTTATTGTTGTTTTCATGGTCTCTTTCTCTAGCAGTAGGCAGTAGGCTCTTGTTTTCCATTATTCGCAAGTTCATGAGCCAGTTGAATTGATTGTACGGTGCAGCATAGGATCAAAAAAACTACTTTACAACACAGTCAGCGCACCTCAAGCGCCAATGCTGAGATCAGAAGCATCAACCCTACACAAGGCACGGACATAGAGTTTCCTGCCATTTTGGCCTTGGTGCCGTTACTCAATTCACCAAGTTGGAGCGCAGGTGCGCCGCATAGGGCCGACTGGCGCTCGTTTGTTGGCAGGATCTGTGAAGCAAGGGCCTCATCTCCGGTCAAGAACCGCTCCTTGTCCTGGAGTGGGGGACAAGCGCTGATGTTTCATAAAATCTCATAATATCATATAGACTGGTCGGAGGAATCAAACCCCTGAGAATCAAATGGTTGATCGTTTGTGTTTTGGCTTTGGGACCTTGAAGGCCTTGAAGGTCAAACACATTGATTACAGTTAGCAGGGGACTCCTCATTGAAAATACTCGCGCTGTTGGTGGTCAGTGTTTGCAAGGTTCCATCTCGGAGCTCGCCCCGTCCCCGGCCATTTGCTGGGTATTGCTGGAGGTCAGGGCACTTCACCTTCAGCAACTTCCTGTAGTCATCAAGGACCTTCGCCTGAGCACAGACCCATCGATCTGTGGTGTCCAAAAAATAGTAAAAGGTCCCAGTTCAAAGCATAATGTTCTTTTGAAGCTCAATGCGAGTTCCAAGCAATTCAACTCATAGTAGTTTTGATTCAGCGCTCATTGCAGCCACTCTACATTGGCTGGACTCAAAACAGACTTTGGAAGATCCATCCACCAAAAGATTGATGCGCTAGCCACCACCCTCGAGGTCACTGACTCGATGACGGCGTCGAGATCCACATCGGGCCGCCAGGAGATTTTCGATGACCTCCAGCAAATGGCATATCGCCTGGAACGAGCTGCAGGGATGCCCAGAACACGAGGGTCAAGTACAACGCTCCGCACCAAAAAGTCAGGGGCCACTCGCGTCAATTCTCTCTCGATGAGAGACTGGGGGTATTCAGGAACATTCTCAATGAGAAGGGCGTCGTGTGTTCCAGCGATCTTCTCATAAAATGCTTTGTGACACTGGTAACTGGGAGCGGATGTCCCCTGTCGCTTTCCAGCTTTGCTGAAGCTGATGCAGATGGGGCCTCAACGCTTCAGTTCGAAAGGAAACATCCTCAACGTTACGTGGAACCAACTGACGCAGCAAGTGAGTTCCAAGGTCATGACCTCCTGCATTGATTCTCAATCCTCGGCGACCGGTTCGAGGTGGCTCGCTGGTTGCCACTGGAAATGCGAAGAACAGACAAACAGTTCAATTCACGACCATATGTGCAACCACATTTAAGCTGAGTTTCGTTTTGTCTTCTTTGCTTTCAAAGTGGTCTTTTTCACTGTGCAGGGCTTTCCATGAGTTACGCAGTACTGAGTTTTGCAATGGGGATCAAAAGTCAAAATGTCCGGGAAACAACAGATCTTGTAAGTTCTCGCCAACACAGATTGGCAAGAGCCATCCACCTCACATGCAAACTGGCTGAGCACGTGTGGGTCTGAAGGGGTGGCTGGCTCGAAACCATTGTCCCGCAGGAAATCCGAGGCTGCGAGCTGAAGCGATGCCAAAGCCTCAGACACGCTGACACAGAGTCTTGGGGAGGCAACCTAGTGCCCTAGTGTCCAACATCAAAGCAAATTTGAGACAGTGACTGATTCAGGAGCACCAACCCCAGAAAATGCGCTGGAGAAACTCCACCGCCACTTCACCAAGTGTTGGCCAAGCCAGTCAGAACCGAATCTGGTAGCTATGCGAGACAAGAACACACTGGCCCAACTGTAAGCATCTTCCACACTTACAAAGCCAGCGGGGTGCTCTGACGTGCCAGCAAAAACTGTGCACTTTGGATATTTCTTCCTGACAAAATCCGATATGTGAGAATGGACAAACATGTTTTGCAAGAGTGAGCCAAAAGATTATCTGGGCCTGTTGGTGGATGCCTTGAGGTGGCCTTTCCTCACCCCGACTTTTGTCCTGCGACAGCAAGGCGCTGGGCCAAGGGATTCCAGGTTGAAAACGAAAAGAAACCAGCCGGTTAAACAGTATTCCTGGAAGTTGGATCGTTCACGGATGGAACAGGTGCAGGTACATCAGCTGGCTTTGGTCGCCAATTCCTGACTTAGTAGTCTATTATTGGTTTACAAAGTGCACCTCGCAAGTCGATGAAGATTACACTAGGTTAGGGCCATCACAATACCAGTTGCACGCACCTGCCAAGCACAATATGAATGAGTGATCTTTCGAAGATGGTGAGGCCTGCCTCTTCAAAGATCCGTAAATGCTGGAAATCCTGCAGCTTGCTTGTGTGCATACATGCAGTTGTTTGCAAACATTCAAGCTTGAGCGATGCTTGTGTTTTGAACCATCAGGTGGAACATGGTTGCCTACTGGGGCCTTCACTGCAGGAAGCTGACACACTGAGAGACCCACCTGCTGGGATCAGAAGCTTGCTGGTTTGAACGACTCATAGTCCATGAGGTAGGCCTGTGTATGCTGGATTTCACCGCTGGGCTTTGGGACTTCAATCACTAAGGAAATGAGACGTGTTCTTACTAAGTCACTCACTGAGGGCCATTGCATCCTTCCTGGGAGGTCATAGTTCCCGAAGTAGACCTGTGTATTCTGGAGCGCAAGCGTTCCGATGTTTTTTGAAAAAATGAGCAAACATGGTGCGGTCTGACATTGAAACATTGAGTGGCCCACTTCCGGAAACTAATTACAGATTGGGACTGAGAATGGTTGAAGCGGTGCAGGCTGTGGAGTCTGAACACTCCAGGTGACCCGCCTGGGGTCACACCCTCCTTCCTTGCGTGAGGTCATAGTCATCGATGTAGGCCTGGAAGTGTTGGAGTGAAGATAGTTGTCAGTTAGAAACATGAATGACAACCATCATTATGAAGGCTTTGACACCCTCAGTGGCCCATGTTCTGAGATCACATCCCTCTTGATTGGAAGCATTCAACATAGAGCAGTGGATATTAGACATTATTGGGGTTGTTTGGATTGAACAAGGGGTTTGCAGGGGCACTGCGGTGGATTCTCAACGCTCTCAGCAACCCACCTCTTCCAATCACATCCTTCTTCTTGCGATGTCATAGTACTCGATGTAGACCTGCAGGTGGTGGGTGTGACACTTAGATGTAGGAATTCAGGAACTCTCAGGGATCCACCTTCTTGGATCAGAAACGATTCTCTGCAAGGCCAAGGTTCTCGATGTGGTCCTGCCGACGTTGGGTTGTGTAAGCCATACTTTTTGGTGTTCTAGTCTATTCGGGAAATAACAAAATGCAGGATGGCCTTGTCTTTTCCTTGCCTTTGGCACTCCGTTTTGTCCTGTGTGGCGGACATGGATGCCCATTTGGTAACAAACCCTGAGCTTCCAAACTTAGTTGTGTGGTCCTCCCATCCGTCGCCGCGGCCACGGCACGGACAGCGGCCTTCAACTCTAAGCGCCCCATGCTTGCCTGCCTATGGCATTCACTGAGTCACAGCCAGCGCGTCTCAGGAAAAAAGTCCAAAAGTAAGCTGCTGAGAAGAGATGTGTGGCGCAATGAGGTTTCTGGCAAATGATCTGAGAAGCTACTCTGCTGCATAGAGTTTTCTCGCAAGAGATCTGTGGTTAGAAAGTGACATGGCCAGATTAAGGGCCCGAGCTTAGGACCACGAGCCTTTAAGAGATTCCAAAAGCCAAATGAACTGTTTCACAGCCCAAACTCCTCAACTAATTCAAACCCATTCTGAATTACTTCTCAGCTACACGCAGCTAATTGAAATCGGACTCCTGAACCCAATCAGAACACAAGAGCCAAGTCACATGGATATATAATTTGCATTGAATTGAAACTTCAACACTCGGCTTGCTTGCCTTGACACCCCGTGGACTGCCAAGCTCTTTGGATTGATCCTACCAAGGTATGAGCAACTAGACCCCGCTACTGCTTTAACAGGCGACCTGACACCCAATCAGTTCCAACCACCACTCCTTCATGTGTGAGGCGTCCTGGTTGACCTAGCTGATACCATCATGCACATCTCTGTGGGCTGAGTGGTGAAGCAAAGAATGACAAGCTGGCCTCTGGGCTGCAGGTTTCGCTTGAACTCCCATTCTGGCGACAGGGCCGTAAGAAACAAGCGAATCAATTGAAACACAAAATGCCTCGAGTCTCCAATACGATTCAACTTGGAGTTCCCAGGGCAAAACATCCTCGGATCTGTCCCAGAAACTAATCAGGACATCATGGTCAAAAACAGAGCCTGGCCTGTGAATCATCAATGACGATGACCTGGGAAGTATTCCACTCTGCAGAAATGAGAGATATGAAGAAACCTCGCCTTGCATTCCGGTTCAACATCAACCTGGGTGTCTGGGAAGGTGTCGTCCACGTGGTAGACTTGAGATTGGTAGTACTCAAAAGTGTCCTAGCCAGATGAAGATTAAAACAGTTAGTTATTCAAATGTTCAATACTGAGTGTTTGTTAGCTCCTCTACATTCTTCAGCTCATCAGTGGACCAAACCTGGCGCCAAGGAGGCTCATGGGCAGCATCTCTTCAGAACAGGGAGCACGACCCGTCCCACCTGAGCATTTAGACGCCTGGCTGGAAAGATTTGTCACGAGAAAAAGTGGGCCCAGGCAAACAACACAGCAGTTGGGGCCTCAAAGCAGTATGTGGGCGACGAGAAGGTTTCACATGGTTGAGGCGGACCAATTGAGGCATCCTACACTGGACCCAGCGGTCGAAACTACGTACCTGTTTGCAGGGTCTCATAAAAGGCTGCAGGTTCCTGATGTTGCGCAGTTTGGAATCCCTTGCTGACAGTTTGCGCGCACAGAACGATTGAAATCCAGACTATTCAGGTTTCATTTTCACCGCCCAAGTCTTGCTTGGAACACCATCGCTGGAGCAACCCTGAAAAGGGCTGGTGAATTGCTAATCCGAACAGTGTCTGGGGACCCTGCAGTGGTGTAAAATGGCAATGGACACAGTGAGCCCGGATTCTGGTTTTGAACCAAATCCATCAAAAACTCAACCGCGCGCCCGCTTGTATCCGAGGGGAATCGGTTCAAGAGCACCTTCGCCAACTGTATGTACTTCTGTGCTTTGGCCGCATCAGTTCTTCTGAGCGGCCTGGACTCAAGTGGGGCCTGGTTCAAGATTGGCACCATGAATTGGTAGGGCATGGCCAGTAAAGCCTCCTGAGGTTGCGACATGGCCACAAATACCCTGTACCCCCCCCAAAAGTAGCCACTGAATTATTGTATCTTGGCATGTTGGGCCATGTTTTTGGAACTGAACTCAAAACCGAACCCCCCTGACCTGGGCAAGACAATCATCAGAGGCCCTTCTTTTCACCATGATGATCACATCCAACTCATGAGCCTCCAAATCAAGGCCTGTCTGGTCGTCCACCTTGATGATCAGGTTCCGTGGCACGTCTGGCCAGGCAGGTTCACATTGAAGAGATAAAGACCCCAAAGTTTTCTCGTCGGGTGTATTATTTTGTTTCTGGAGATTGAATCAGGAAAATTCATGCTACTTTCTATTATGGCACCCATCCCCACACTCGCCTCGTCGGAGCATAAACAGAAATGCATGGTGCCCTGTTTCGTCGTCCTTGAGGCCGCCCCGGAAAGTGACTGGCAAATGCCCGTCCAGCCTGAGATCGCAAGTGGAAAAGGGTTTGCGCTGGGTGACCAGTCGGAGTGCCCTCAGAATCTAGAATCCAGGTCGGCACCAAGAAACCAATTCTTCCAAGGCCTGCAACTGCTGACCCACTGAACATTGATTGTAGCCTTCGGTCCAATCCACTGCTTGATGTTGATTCTTTCCAGGATGCTCTTAACTTTCCTTGATCGATGCGCAGTTCATGAGGGGCCGGTTGGTGTTAGGGTGAACCACTGACGATTACGACGCTCAATTCGGACAAGGTTCACAATCAAATCGTGTGGGTCGCACATCAAGTCTATATACTTGACACATTGCGCGAGGACGCCGTACAGTTGGTCTCAGTCTTTGTTGCTTTTAAGCAAGATTAAGCTGAGATATAGTGGTAGCCCTGTTCAGTAGTGAAATCACTATGAAAAGAAGAGTCAAGACCGCACAACACAAATTGGCTAATGATCAAGTCAAGAAACCCAATGAACCGTGACTGTGTCCGACACGTGGAAATAAAAGTCCACAAACCGTCATCTTTTGTTTCTGAAGTAGTGATGCCATAAGTTTGATGCTGGTCGAGTTCTTTGTCTCTCTGACAGTGTTGTCAGCCTGGGAGTTGCTGGTGCAATTTGACCGGTAAGCAAATTCACTGGCAGCTGGCAGCAACATCAATTCCTTATATACATGAACTTGCAACTTAGTGACCCAGATAAAGCACTCCTGTGGTAGAGTCTTTTGGTGTCGTTCGAAAATACCAACAGCGTCTTGGAGCGCAAGCATAAAGCATTCGGCCACGAGGCTTGAGTCGGCGGGCACATTTGGGTGGACGCAGTACAAGTTTAGACTTACTCCATGCAGCCAAACGCCATGGATTTTGACGCGGGGGCGGATTAAAGTTTGTGCTTCCTTGCTCGATTGCATCAGTCGGTTCCTGGGCAATGCCCACTTCGATTGATCCATTCCATCCTGCACTCAGTCAGTCTGTCCAATGTTGGTTTGTGAAGCAACATTTAGTTTGCTTCAAGAAAATCTAATGAATATCATGTTGCTGACAAGAGTCCCAGTGGATGCACAATGGAGCAGAATCATTCTCCAATGGACTTTGGGCCTGCCACTTGACAGACAAATATTGTTACTCATCTTTGCTCAGGGACCACCACTAAATGGAAAGCAAATTTTCTGCTGGTCTCTCGGCTGAGTTTGCCGGATCGAACTTGCCTGAAGGAATTCCTCCAGCTGCCTGTCGGCACGGATTTCATCAAGGTGCTGCTTGTACTCTCGTGCAACGTTGTACTTGCTTTGGCTGTCCTGGTCCAATCATGTCGGAAATCATGTGAACCCAAGCCCGACACAGTCCAAAAACTCCAATATCATGCAATAAACAAAATTCAGTCCAAGAAACGAATGCTCGCTTGAACCGGGTTTTGAAATCCAGGCACGTGTCGCACGTGGAGTGCGTTGTAGGTGCCAAGAACTTTAACACTGTCTTCCAAGTATTCTTGTACCGGCGCCAGAACGTCAAATACCTCGTTTCTGCTCAAGGGCCTGTGCAATATATGACATACGAACTCTTTCAAAATCTTAGTGCTTGCTTGAGGGACGAAATGCCAGGATTGGATTCTCGAAACTCCAGCCATAGCATTTTGATGGTGCCCGGAGGCAAGAATCGAGTGGGTAATCTATTCACCCGTTGTGAGAAATTGCACTCTATGTACCTTACGACTCAATGAACAAATATAATCTAATGACTGAAAAGGCATTCAGCAAATTGGTGAAAACCTATTCTGCCATCATGTTGAAGCTGAAAACTCAGAAACTGGCTTGCTGAACGCGGATTGAACACCCAATATATGAAGCCTAAGACTTTCGTCGTCTTCCAACCTCTCTCCATCAACCCGAAATTCATCTGATGGGTCGTCATCCTCATCCACGTCAGAACCTTTGCTCAGTGTCCGAATGACCGTGCGCAGGCGTTCCAAACATGTCTTATGGTGGCGACAAGTCACAGGCATCGGGCTCTGGTTCAGCATGGAAGACAACCTGCAAATCCTGCGCGTTCTTCCGCTGGTGGCCACCCCTGCGAAACCTCGGGCCATGCGTTGCATGTCAAATTACTTGATCTAGTGACTGCGTCAAGCAGGGCATTGAGGTTCAAGCTTATTCGGGAGCATGCCAGCGGCATTTTGATACAATTTCATAAGGTGCTGGTCCACCTTCATCCTCTTGATCGCATTGGCCTTTCGTGCCTAGGTCTTTGTCTTTATAGCCTGTAGGCCTCTTACAAGGTATTTGCACACAGAAACTCCAAAGCTCTTCCATCATGAAACATCAAGAGTAACAACATGTTGCAAATCAAGTGTCGAACCCAAACACTCCGAAGCGAAGATCTACACGCCCACTATAAGCAGAATGCAATCTGTTGTACCCAACCCCCAAGATCTTCGCTATGCACCGTGAGCCAACATGATTGCCCAGCAATACCCACTTCCGGTAGACATTGGAACCAGGCCGAGCTGCCACTCTGTGAATCTAAGTTTCAAAGCGGAAGCACACTGAGCAGAGTCGCCCAGTGCTTCGATAACTTGCAAGGAATTGAACACCAAACACTTTCTGCAGGAGTGTCAGCCAAAAAACAAACAACTGCTCAAAACCAGCTTGGACACATAGGCATCCTGTACCGTTTTACGGAGATTCCAAAACACTGAGAGAAATCTTGTCAAGCTAGCCTCCTTGAAGCCCTCGTAACATTTGCCAAAGCTGCATCGGCACTTTGCACGAACCAAGCTCCGAATCCTAGGAACGCTTTGGCCGTTCAAGTGGTGCCTTGGATACTCCGCAATGGGCTGGGGGCACCCCCCCCAGGCCGGCAAGGAAATTAACATCGAACAAAGAACATTCTACTTCAACAAATTGAGATGCTTCTTCCTTTCCACTGGCTGAATAGCGAAAAATCGTCTCTTTCGGTTGTCATAATTTGGTCTTGCTGGAGCAGTCTTGGGGGCCAAATGATGCGAAGCATGTTCTACATGATCATCTTGGAACTGGAGCAGTCCTTCCAGTGAAAACTCACAAACAACTGTTTCTGGTCCCTGGTTCTGAGGGATCTCGGGAGCGTTGACCGCTTCTGATTGATCCTTGTGCCCCTTCAGGGCCAAAGATCTAAAGAAAGCTTTGCGTGCATCTGGAACAATCCCCTGATCTTGATCTCTGTTTCCACAATCATCTGATTGTCTGGTAGGACTCGAAGTAGCACGTGAATCACTGCAGGATTGAGGGACAATCGGTTGCCTTGAGGCAGGCGATGAGGCCCCACACTGCAATGATTTGAAAAACCTCAGGGATGGTAATGAATCTAAATGTGAATCTAAATGTGAAAAACCTCAACCCAACTCGCACATGAATCAAATTATAATGTGCATACTAAGTAGCTTCAATCTTTCCGGGTCTGGTCCGGTGGACGGCATCTTTGAGCCGTCGTGGCTACTCTGCTGAGCTGGTTGAATCTCAAATGACTACCCTGCTGAGCTGGTTGAATCTCAAATGATATGAAATTGACCTCGATTATAATGAAATAGCCTTAATTCCTTATTCATCAGGAAACGGCTGCGCTGGCAGCTGGGTAACAACTCCTTTCTCATCAGCCCAAGGATAGGGAAAATAGCTGAAGTCAATCAGAGCATGCTCGAGCCTGTATCCCCAAGTCCTGGCTCATGTGCCGGACATTGTTTTTCCATGTTTTTCCTATGTTTTCTTGCGATGGTAGCGCACTCAGGAGTAGGGAGTACCCGCCTGCTTTTCCCAAGCCATCAGGCAACATAAATCCTATGTCCTATGTCATCAGAACCTAGTATAAAGTCATTCGATCAGCGGCCTCAAGAAAGCTGCACGGGTGTAAGCAACAGAGGATTTCATTGACAATTTGAAAGGCCGCGGCCTAGATTTCAAGATTTTCTACCTTGTGTATACTGACAAATTCTTCGTGAAGCATCGGCACGCAAAGTTTCTCAGCGACAGAAGTTCAGAGCGACATCGGGGGCGTAAGCAGACGATTTGAACAATTTCATAGATCTAGATTGGAAGAGCTTGTGCCTCGTGTATAGTATCGTTCCGCACTTGCGCGCCATTTGATGCGCACTACCACATTCGCATTTGTACAGTAGTTCATTTCTCATCACTTTAGCCAGCAGTCTTGACAGGCGATGGCCTCCAACCTAATAGCGGCCTCCAACGGACCAGGTTTTAGACTTCCAATCAGTTCACAAGTGGACGCTGGGCTGGTTGGCCCTGTGGAACAGACATATGTGTCCGTCACGGCTTTGCATTCAACCATTCGCTTCATTCAACTCAAGGCTCGTGAACTGCAACGGCTAGTGCAACGATCGACAAATTCAACTTGAGGTGATCGACCGGACCATGACACGCAGCTACATCTCATGACTTCACGAAGGTGTTCACCGTGTGTCCTGTGCCGCTCGAAGGACGCAACTACATTGGTTGCATACAGTTTGCTTTGTCAGTATCGGTTACCGTACCATGCGTTGCTCCAACAGACAGTTTAGTTTATCCAGCTCACCCCTCAGGTCCCAAAGATGTCACTCATAGGATGTTTCCATACAACAGAGTCCAGTTTTGACAAACGATCATGTAAGTCAATGTAAGTCAGCTGGACATGGCCATCCAAATTGTACATGCTAGCCTGGACAGGTTCCAAAGGAAAGAAGTGCCAGCGAGAGAGCAAGTGACAATATAGTCCATCCTGGTTGTGGTTGGGGCTTATGATGGAAATTCTCATGATTCCTTGCGTCTAGCTTTCCAATGGCTTTCGGAGAAAAAACACATACGTGTAACTCGAGGGCAGGCGTCGACCTGTTCATATCGCGCAGGCGTCTACGAGAGCGTGTGACACTGGAATGTTGGAAAGTCCCGTGTCAGCGGGAGTGTAGTAGTCGAGTGAGCTCTGAACGCCTTAACCAGCAGATCCAGCCTGTACCAAGTGCCGAGGTGCAGAACCACTGCACTGAATGCAGATGTAGACATGTAGACTTCGCCTTTCCAGTTCAGCCGTAGAACACACCTGGGTTCGTAGAAGGTTTGTATGGGATTCATGGAAGACCCTTTTTTCTTCACATATTCCGCAGAGCTTTGTAGAGCCCTGCAGCGCCTGGTGTTTTTCACGCAAGGGGCGGGGGGTCGCAGAAGTCTGTGTGGTGACCAGTCGATTTGGGTGCGTTCTGCCTTGATTGATCACTCCAAGGCAATGTCTGGAGGAATATGCATGTGCTTCTTAGCCACTTCAGTCACCTAGACTCGAATTTCCATGGTCGTTTCGCTGGGCAGGTGTGTCAATTTTCACCTGTTCTTAAAGAGATGGCAAATCAACGGATTTCGAGGTGGACCAATGATCACACCGATATGCAGCTGATGTTTTAATTCATCCAAACATGCCAGAGGATGGGACACGAACGACCGCCGTCGCCAGACCGTCTTTGGGACGATGGAGGTTCTCACATATCCGAGGTCGTGAGGTAGTGGTGAACGCATCGTGAGGTCCGAGTGGTGTGGTGTCCCAGTCTTGGGGCAGTGGCCTTGCACACCTGGTCTCGCTTGGGTGTGGCTTTGCTAGGGATCGGCGTATTGTGCGGTGTGGCCTTGCTCAACAAGAATCATTTGTGTCCTTGCGTTGAGACAAGCATGTACGGTCAGGTGTGCCAAAACGATTGGTTTTGAAGGGTCCCGCATTCGGAAGGATCATTCATGATCTCGTTGGGTTTGTTACTATATAGCTTGTCCTGGCATTCTTCGGGCCCCCGGCCAACATCAATTTTAACATCCATTCTTTTGCACCCGTCACCCTCATGTACCGATGCACTGGTTTCGGCTGCGTCAAGATTTGAGGATGCTGCCAAGCCTGCCGTTTAGCAGATAGACTTTCTTGGATTCCAGTGTTCATGTTCTTTCTGTCGGTTTGACTTTTAGCTGTTTGGACCTGCCGAAAGTTTGTAATGGTTGCTTTGCTAAAGCCGACGGCCTTGCAACTGCCAAACTTGGCTCAGCTTGTCAAGTTCTGAAAGACATAAGTATTAAAGTTTATACGGGGAAGCCTTTCTTTCATTGTTTGGTTCGCTGTCCCATGTGGGGCTGGTTACATGTGAAGTGCGAGGAGGAGCAGCTGTCACAGTGCGGCCCGCATCCCGGCTCCACATGTTTCTTCGTACGCATCTCATGTAGCCTGCAAGGACATAGGAGTTAGTGGAAGTACCAAATCTGAAGTCCTAAGCCATGCAAAAGCTGAAGAAGCAATATATCTTCAAGACCTTCAGGGCCCAAAGCTAAGTCATCCGCGCCCGGTATACATGCCGCAATCGCAAGTCTATCGCCGGCCTTTCGCCGTGCGGGCTTTGTCCCATCACGGGGCATCAAAGAACTCATCCCTTATGCACAAAGTGCATGTACGGAGGACCAGACCAGACACGAATGCGTTTCAGACCAGACCATGACCTGAGATGTCGACATACCAAGTCGCGGTGCGCAGTCGCTGCGTTTCCCCTACGTGCGCTCGACGTGCCTGCGTGAGTTCACTTTTCGAGGAAAAAGATGCCAAGTCAAAGTTTGATTCGATGGGTACCGGCGATTTTATATCCC